CACTTTTAAAAGTGTATCATCAGCATACTTTAAGTGGAAAGCGTCCAAAAATGCTACCGCAGTGTGCCAAAAGCACACTAGAAATGTGTCAGTGGCACGGTAAAAGCACGCTAGCAGCACATAAAAAGTATACTTCGATACACTTTTTCCATGTCATTGGCATAATTTAAGTGTGCTTATTCTAAAAGTATGCTTTTCCGGGACAGTGTGGTGAAACATGCCCGAAATATCGTATATTATAGGGAATACTACATGGAAACGACATAAAATATGGTTTACTTTTTTGACTTTATTACGGTGAGGATAAGTCATCNGATCACCAAATCCTATCTTGAAGTCGCCAGATTCTACGTGTTTTGACGTTGATGGTAGCGATTTGGTGGTGACTTATCTTCACCCTTTATTACATTATCAATTGGCCCATCTTTTAGCCAGTCGTCAGATGCATAGGCGACCTACTAAGAAGGAACCGCTTGATTAAGATAATATTTCAGGCTTTAATTGATTGCCTAAGATACAGCCCTTCACTCATAATGTGGGAAAATTTTAAAGTTTTGAATGGAGGACAGTGTTATTCTATTATGTATTTTGGGTTTGGCGCTTCGACTGTCGAGTTAACTTTCAAGCCAATCAGTTTCTTTAACACAAAGGTAATTTTTCTAGTCTGGACAAGGCCAAATGCGGTTTATAAAGAAGTAACTTAATTATGATAGTAATTGCAGCTTGAAATGAGGAATCATTCAATAGTTATATAAAACAAAGACTTCACTCAAGTTTTTGATGAAACATCTAGAACTAAGTCAACCCTTAACTAAGAATAAATTAAGTTCATGAGCTACTTAAAAATATTAATGAAACAAGTCTGTTTGAATTTTCAGCCTTCTATTCTTGATTTAAAAAATAGTTCACATAAACATTGACCACCCTACCGAAGTAAGAAAATCTAGATCTGCTCCAAGCTTTTTACGTTTATGTGTTTAGACATATTCTTTTCTAAAAATGGGAAAAAGTTGTGTTTATTGTTGAGGATTTTTCAAGTTAATAAGCTTTGAAGATGAGTTTGTGTTTCAGTCGATTTGACTAGTGAATTCCAACGGAAGCGGTGTCAATCCTAATAACGACCTGTAAGCCGGCATAAAATTCAACTCAATATTCGTCTAGTAACGGATCATATATTAAGAATAATTTAAGGGCAAGACTTGGCTGAGTCGTGTAAACATTACTGATTATATTTTAAAACGTTTTCTAGAGGTTTTTCAAATATTAAAATATCAGCGAGATTCATCAACTTGCTTTAAATTCTGTGAGCTAAATTTAATTTTTCTTGCCGTGAACGTTAGTTGATGCTGATTATATGTGGACTCACTTTTTATTATATTAAAAGCTTTAATTGTGTGTATTTGCTTTATTATTACCTATTAATTGTTCTATTTTTACAGTTAAGTCGTATAATATAAGAGAAAAACGGCTGTTGCGAACAACTTTACAACCATGTATGAAACACACAAAAAATACAGAGAAATTAAGGTATATCTACCAATAAATACACACAGATAGAAAAGCTAGATATGCGAATATAGAATGCTTCTGGACAATCGACGATCAACTCAACTTCAATAGATGAATATTATCTGTAGATCCCTATTTTCGTGTTGAACGCTTTCATTATATATCACCAATAGCCATTTTTTGAGAGAAGCCCTATGAAAAATAGTATTTAGAAAATCCAACCTTCGTTCTGCAATTTGTGAATACAGTTAGGTTGATTGCTTTGTCAGAAGAAGTAAAACTCTTTACTTTGCAGTATTCACGAAATAACGGCTAATGATCGTTGGCCACTTCAAATTATTTTGTGGATAATTCTGCACAGTACTGTTTGTAGAATGATACTGAAGACGCAAAAAAAAGTGGAAGATATACTTAACTTCCGTCAGGACTAGTGATAAATTTCAAAAAAAAATCCTTATTTCGAAGACTTTCACATAAAACACTTTCAATTATTAGATAAATGTATCTCTTTGGTCTCACTTTTCGAAAAAAATTCACGATTCAGACTGATTTATATTGACCAACTTATTATTTGTAGATTATGATAAACTACAATTCGTAAATGACAAGAGGAAACCGCAGAAAAGCTCCTTTACTGTTGCCGTCGGCAACTATTAGGGATCCTCTTGCAAAAAGAAAACAAAGAACCACAAATGAAAAAAAAGTAGAAAATCTTATGCCGACAAACAAGTCTTCTCGAATACAATCAACTCAGGAACACCAACCACTACTGCCTTCAACGCGTCACATACTTTATGAAAAACAAAAACAATTACATGATTATTTTAGAGATGTCGCAATTCGAGAAGCAATCAATCGTGTACCACAATTTGAATGTTTTGGTGTTGAATTCTTAGCATTAGGCGAAATTGAAGTAATTGAAAATAGTTTAAAAGCAATTAGTGTTATTCTATCAATGAATTATGACTTAGAAAAATATCCGATTGATTTTGTGCACGCTTTTATTCGTCTCAAAGCACTTAATACATTTTTACGTTTATGTGATAATTTTTACATGTTGGAAAATGATCGATGTTCAACATTAATACAACTCATTGCCAAAGCGTGGTTCAATTGTCTCTATTATATGTTACCTACATGTTTATTTCCAATGAAATATGGTGATCCAATTTTAGGTTTAACTCAAAATAAATTAAAACAATCTGATATTGAAAAATTAGAATATATTGATGAAAATATTCCAGATTTTGTTCAAACATTGCAATTTGCCGTTGATTATGATGATAAATTAACAAGTGAATGTCGTCGATTTAGTCATTATTCAGTACTATTACGTTATGTTATTATGATATGGAAGGCATTAAAAGACGGAAATATTATTGATGGACAGACTCCTCTATCGTCTTTGACGAGTGATCAGTCACAACCATCGTCTATTTCTGATGGTGTTCCTGTTTCAGAGACAATTAAACTTTTGGCAATATCAATTTCGACATTTTTTTCATCATCATTGATAAGAGTAGAACAAAATATTTGTTTAAATATACGGGAACATTTCGATTTCATTTATGCATGTCGATTATATGAAGAGAAATACGGATGGTTCGGTGGTATCAGTTATGATCTAACAAAAATGTCAGAATATAAACGAGAACAATTATATTGTGAATATCGTACTAAATGTTTTTGTTCTTTATTGAGAAAATGTTCAAAAAGTGTTAAGGATTTTGTAACAGAATATTTGATTTAAAATAACAGAAAAAAATATATATTATGCATTTTTTAAATTGTTTTTTTGTATTTTAGAGAATATATACACGTTATTATATGATATTGTCTAGAATTATTTATGTAAATTCTTCTTTATTATATTCTCTTTTTTGTTGTTATTATCTTTTGATGTTATTTATCTCATCTTTATATATTTTAGAATAATTACAGATTAAACATGATAAATTCTCAAGGTTAAGCAACAAGGCTCATGCTTTTTATTGATCAGTAACACGTTCTTTTTAAATCTTTCCTATAGGAAAAATTTTAGAAGATAACATGGCATATATATCGTGAAATTTCACTGGCGTAAACGCGTGAAAATGTCGCACATTAATTTTAGTGTAAAAAAAATAATAAATTCATATTGATTGACGTGTCAGTTTTTCACGCAATTAATTTCGTGAATAATATTCATGTTAATCTTGAATATTAATGTTTGGTTTATTTTATATTTTGTCTCTTTAATTACATGCGAAAATCTTTACCGAAAAAGTTTCTTATTGGGAAAGATTATTTGTTTAAGGACGTTGGCACTATTAATTAATACTGCCAATGGGTATAAAACTTCATGACTATCTAATATTAATTTGGCTACTGAAAGTCTTGCTTTATCAGCATTTATTTGTCTTTTTACTGTCTTGTACTAATCGCTATCAATTTATTGATCGAACATCATCTGTTAGTGTTTGACACAGTGTTAAATAGAAAAATTTTAGATAAATCGACAAGCATACAAAATTTCTTCACGCCTGGCTTCGTACTGAGCTTTTTCTAAAAAGGAGGAATTAAGGAGGAATCGCAAAATCTTGAAAGGAGGAACGCCACTAAAAAAGGAGGATGTAAATCCTCAGCTAAAAACACTAATTTCACATAATAGATGAGCGATACAGTTGAGCCTTGCTTTAGCTATAAATTAACCGGTGAACCGTTTCCACTTCTGTTATCCAGCCAACTACGATTGAACTTGGACGCTTTTGGCATAAATATGGTTTTATCTAAAATTGCTTTATATCTATCCATGAGGACGTTTTAAGCAACTATCGGACGATATAACTCGATATTAGAGGGTAGACAAAAAAATATTGAAGTAGGTCGCGATAAGAGATATAGCTAACTGTAACGATC